GCCACATAGTTGAAACCGCTTCCGCATCCAAGACATCTACATTGAGTTTAGTCGTTATGATACGGTGTGGCAGGTGGTGAATAAACGCAGAGCTGGTTTGCTCACGAAAGGGGACTCGGCGGCAGCATAGTATCTAGTTTAAATAGACTTTGTATTGTATTCTCCTTAAAGAAACTGATGGGACTACTTCCTATGTCTGGTTCCGTGTAACGAGGGGTGTTGGCATTTTGCCAGCACTGCGGTATTGAAATCACGTTGAACTCCGCTATTAGCTCGTAAATTTCAGCCTAAGAAACTCATCTGTGACTGACTCAAGAGTCCCTCACGATTAGCCCTCCAGCAGGCGCTCATAGATTACGGATGCTACGTTATCTTCTGTCTTGGTTCTGGTCTCCCCGGGAGACAACTCCGTCATCCACATCCCAATATGTCTCGAACCAGCAAGATAAAGGCACAGGAGCATCGGAAGATGATAGAATTAGGAAAGGAGGAGGAGACGGTCATTCTCATAGCGGCGATTCCGTGGACGCGGTGGTTGCAGTGAGCAATCCAGAAGGCTCAGCGGGTACTAGAGCTGTAAACCAGACATCATATGGTCAGTAATGGTATCAGAGAAAGTTGGGGCTTAATATAATATACCGGTTGGGCGGAAGGCCTTAACGCTCGTCTCAGTTCAGGCCAGTCTCCCGAGTCAAGGTAGGTAAATAGTCGAACAAAGACATTTATACAAGCTTATCATTGGTATTGTGCTCATCTATATGATTGGACATCTTCAGGGCTGTATCCTTCACATGGGATCATCTATCTGAAGCGGATGGGAACGAGAATGACACACGAGTCGGGCAAACATCAGGACACTCTCCTTTCACCGATACAAAGCAATCAGTGAGAGGTGTTTCACAGTTCTACAGTACACTTTCTTACAGCCTCTGCAGCGTCCCGAAGCAGTGTCTGATTTGACTGGCTTGGTCAAGTCGTTGGAGAAATTTGCCGCATACGAAGGCACTCATTCAAATATATTCAAGGGTAAATGGGGGGAAAAGCTCGTCAGTATTTTTGAGCGATTCAGAGTAGACAGCTAACTTTTTCTAGGTGGCCATCAAGGTCCTTAGAGGTTCACGACTAAATGAGACAACCAGCCGGGTGAGTTGGATGTGGTATTGTGAACTTGACTGAAAGGGAATTGGAAATGCAACATGAAGAAAGTGGAAAGGGAGATGAGGGTTTGGTGGCACCTGGATCATAAAAACGTCCTTCCACTATATGGATTCACCAAGGATTTTGGAAAATACGGTGCTCTGATATCTCCTGTAAGAATCTGGCCCTCAGAGTCATGGAACCCTTCAATTCATCTCATCCACAGTGGTGTGAAGGCGGGAATGCCAGACAATATCTTACACGAGCCGAGAGAACGGCATCACATAGATTCCAGCTCGTAAGCAATGTGCTTTGAGCGATCGTGTTCCATAACCTGATTCCATCTCCAGTGGTGTGATGCCATCAGTGCAATACAATACCTGCATTCTCAGGATCCTCCACTAATACATGGTGACCTAAAGCCGGTAAGTCGCCTAGTTCACTGATTTCATCGAATCATCTCACAATACTACGCAGGCAAATGTTTTGGTTGATGCTACAGGAAGAGCTCAAGTATGCGACTTTGGCTTAGCGAGGTTGCTTTCTGAAGAAAGTATGGGAATGACAACAACCTCTGCACATACCGGGACGATGAGGTATCTAGCCTATGAGCTTGTTGTTGCGGATGAGTCACCTATCACTACATTGGCCACGGATATATACGCCCTCGGTTGTCTTGGCCTTGAGGTAAACCTTTTTCCTCCACTCGGTTCGTATGAGTTTTTGCTCACCTATCCAGTTTATCTTCCGCAGAACTCCTTATGCCAATCGTCGCAATCCTGCTCAGATATACCGAGACATGTCGCAGAACATTCCACCATCCAGGGAGATTCCTCTTGATGGTCCACCTTCAGTAGAAATACAAAGCCTTTGGGATATCTTGAATTCGTGCTGGGCTACGGATCCTGGTGCTCGCCCTTCAGCCGAGGAGGTCAGAGTGCTTGTAATCACGAATGGTTCGGGTTTCATTACTGCATTGGGATCAGACTTTGTCTTGGCCAAGGAATGACCATGCGACATTGTGATTACCTCTCTATACCAATCTCTTTCTACCTCCGTGATGTGGTGTTGATCATATACAGTGGACAGAGTCAGCTTCAATTTACCGTCCTTAGCTTGACAACAAGCTTTACCTCCGCGATGACGTTACTGGGATGGGTATTGTCCTTGTACTTCCATGAACATGCCCCCTTGATTATGCTATGGTTTTTTATTATC